TCAGGTTAGGTTTTGGGTCTTTGCAGTTCCAGGATGAAGAGAGTTTAGGACAGTCAGTCCTACATGTCTCACTTGGTGGATAGTGCACTGAATAGTAGCTGCTGCCATTCCCTGCATTTTCCATGCAGGAGAACTGAAACAGAGATAAATACTTTATCTCCAGAAGGTCTGGGTTAGAGTACAGAGCAGAAAACCATTTTCCTGCATCTACGTTGTATGCACCAGATGCTCAGCAATGCCTTCTGACACCACCAGGAGATGTGAAACTGAGAACTTGTCTGCTTTGTCCCGTTTCTATTAACTGGGCTAATAAACTAAGGCAGATAAGTCCTCTTTTATCATGGCTATTTCAGAATTTCCATTAATATCGCTACTTGAGTCATCTTGCCTATAGTATGGTAGAAGTAATATTCATATAGCCGGTTGGGGTTAGATAGATCCTGTACCAGTGAGATTTCTGCAATATATTGAAGTCCTTAGTTAAAAAAATATGGAAAAATGAAATACTGCTGTTGTTTCATAATAGAGTGATCATTTGAAAGCCTCATCTGGTTCAGATGCTGTCAGAAGGCAAGTCCTTCTACTACATAAGATCTTCTGAAAACATATTCAGGAAGCGCAGAGAAGGGACAAAGAAGGAGATAGATTGGACCTATTGAAAATGATGGAAAACTGAGGGAATTTTGGATAGGGGGTGTGATCTAATTTGCTGAATTTCTGGTCCAAACGGGACATGCTTTGTGACAATAGCACCCTCATTTTGTTTTTCTGCTGTTATAACAGCAGTAGGTATTTTCTCTTTATTAGAGATCACTGTTCAGGTTAGCTGGGAGATGGTCACGGGGTGACTTGAGCCTATATTAGTTATGTAGGAAACAGAAATCTTAGAAGGTTTTTCAGTCTAACAAAAATATAAAAAGCCTAAGTGGCTTAAAGTTAGAAGTAAGGTGAAATCAGAAGAGAAGTAGGTAAATGTTTAAGTGAAGGCAGTTAATTAAGTTTGGGAACAATTTAGAAGACTGTGGTAGATTCTCTGTTATTATCAGTTCAGGAATGGAACTTAGGAAAAAGATCCAAGCAGACTTTATTCCTCAGCGAGATTAATTCAGGGATGCCTGTTATTATCCTGAAGGTCAGAACAGGTGATCCCAGTAGTCCTACCTGGCCTGAAGATGTCTTTGAAGTATTTCTCAGAAGCAGTGCATTCTCTCTGAAAGCGTATCCTCCTGTTGCCTGTTGCAAATCAATATAAAATGAAAAATAGGGAGAAAAAGTGGACACTTTAGCTGGGATAGACCTTCTTTATAAATTGAACTATCAGATAAGTGACTAACTCATTTTAGCAGTTCCATATATCAGAATGGTCATCCTCTTACTGCTGTTTTTTAATCCTAATAAGGAAACCAGCTCCAAATACTGGCATAAAATAGAGATATCTTTGGGGATTTTTTCCCATCTTATTTGTGTGAATAGAAATGTAGATTAGCAGTAAAACCAAACCCAGAAAACATGTTCTGCAAACAGCCTACTAAACATGGGAGACAAACACTGCATAGTAGTCTGTTAGGTCTGATGGATCTTTCCTCATTGTGTTAGAGAGGGGTTATGATCATATGATGTAGAAAAACACTGATGTTTTCACAGTCAGTGTTTCTGCTTAATACGAAGAGGTGATATTGCCTGTTCTTATATTATGGCTAATACTCTTTCATGACTGGAAGAAAAATTTCAAAAAAAAAAAAAAAAAAAGAGCAACGACTTGTCTGAGATGAGGTGAATGGAGTGCATATGGAAACTTTAGTCTCTTTATGGAATACAAAATTAAGTAGGAGATGTGTTTTCCCCTGAGACTTCACAACGGATATATATTTTGATGGTACATCTTGCAGTGTCTTCAGGGGTGCTGAGACATATTAAAAGCAAAATATTTTGTTGCTGAAGCAGTCTGTCCTGTAAGAATACAAATGCTCTCCCAAAGTGGTGTCTGAATAGCCATGAGCTGAGTTGTTCTGAACATGGTGTCACTGATTCTGTGAAGACTCTTCCCAGGTTCCTGTCAGCTGCAGCACGCTGGAAACCTGGGAAGCCTCAAGTTGCAAGGCTGAGTTTCACAGAGGGGCCTAACATGTCCACCTCCATAGTTTGTCAAATGATTGATCTCCACTGGGCTCCTAATCAGAGCCCAGGTCCTCTGCATAGACTAGTGAGGAAGGAAGAACTGTCGTTGCTCTTTGTGGCATGTTGTATTTGCTCGGTGTTTCATTTGGTCAAATGCTGGAAGTTTTTGTAGCCCAGAGTCACCACAAATGAGAGCTGCAGGCAGGGCTGGGAGGCTGACGTACTCCTGCGGCACAGATCGAGTTGTACGGCAAGACAAAGCTCCTGTGGTTTTCTTGGGGAATAATCAGCTGGCTTCTGTTGTGGCAGATGTTCTAAGCGTCAATCAAACAACAAGGCATAATTTAATAGAATTTCAAATGTAAGTAACACTCTTGCTTCAGCTTGCAGACTTGAATTAAATCACTTGTGGGAGGAGAAAATGCTACTTTTGGGCTAAAAAATTTCAGGGCATTTTATTTGAATTTGTGCAGCTGGCACGTCCACAGCTGATAACTCATGCAGATGTCGAATGGAGAATTGCAAGGCTTCTGTCTGAAAAAGGCAATTTATTTCCCTTCAACATCTTAATTAATTTTGTAAAAATAAACAGAAGTGTGCGTTTGTGGGAGAATTCTCATGATGTGAACAGGAAAATATTGGTGATCTGGTTAAATCTGAGTTCCAGTTATTAAACCTTTTGTCCCACGTACAGACTACTATAAGTCAGCAGATTAAAATGGGTCCACGTATACTGGTCAGTGACCAGCGCTGGGGCAATGCAACTCAGTTGTCTATTCTGTGAAACCATTAGCACAGTTAGCACATACAGCTTTGGCCAAGGCCATTTCATAGCCTCACGAATGATTCCTGGGCATGATTTAAGTGTTACAGCGTGTCAGGGACCATTCCCAACACACAGTTTGCATTCACCCACTCTTGTCTGAGAGGGTGGGAGTCTGATAGGACTTGGCCAGATCATGCCATTTGGCCTCAGGGCCAGAAGACAGGCCTGGGCACTGTGTAAATCACTAGTTACTCTGGGCAGGGTTGCTGGCAAATACTGTAGCAGGGAATTGTAATTGGTTGTAGCTCTATTATAAGTAAGTGCCTTCCCATACACGTGATTTTAGGTATCTCTTTTCTGTTTGAACAAATACTTAACATCTGCATTAGCAAAACGGTAGTCTGTGTCTCTTTTGGGCCTATCTCGCTGCTTTTTTATGGTGAAAGACAGAGCAAAAATATTTTTCTCTTTCACTTCTACGTTGACAGCGGAATTCCTCCTTGCAATTTTTTAGGGAGGCTGTAAAAGGTATGTTGTCTTCAGTACCAGCAGTGATGATGATGCAGTAATTTTGCTGCTGTTGATAATGCATTATTTGCAAACAATTTTAGGAGCTGCCTTCTGTATGAAAAAGTGATCCTTTCACAATATGCCTGAAAATCAATACAGCATATGTAAGAAAAGAAAAAAGAATACACTGAGATACGTACTTCTAAGCCATCTGCTTCTCAAAACGACGATAGCCATTTAAGAGCTTTGTCTTTCCAGGTTCTATCTTGAGATGGCTACCCTCTTATTTCAAGGAAAGAGGGATTTCATCACCATTACCACCAAAAGCTGAATGTTCTGTGGTGCGTTTCGGTAGACAAAATGGGTTATGTGACAAGAACAACCAGCACACGCACCTTAAAAATCCTCTGATTTCCAAGTAGTATCTAGGTCATATGATACCCCCAGGCATGATTCATCCACCTGGGCTTTATGCCAAGCAGCAACTGCGTGGATCTGACACCCCGAGAATACTGCAAAATTATTAAAACTATATTTTTTTTCTTCAGATGCTGCTGCTAATTATGACTGTAAAAAACAAAACACAACACATAATTTATAGTTCCTTTCTGAAGGAATTAGTTTTATTATGTAGATGCAAGAGGTACAGCATGGACTGAAGAGAATGCAGAGCAGATCTTGCTGAACGAGCACAGCTAGTTTTCCTCAGCCTTACAGGCTTTTTTAAGGTTGCTGTCTCGATACAAAATCCTACCGAGGGTAGAGAAAAGGTAGCTTTTACTTGAGTGTATCTGATTGAAGCCCAGCTAGCTGTCAAGAGCTGGCCTTAGTTAGCTACCGTGAGCTAAAAATTGCCTGTGTTCTGCGTCCATAAAACTTTTGCTGATGATAATCTCTTTGAGGGGCAGAAACTCCATACACTTGGTACAGACCTCATGCAGTTTTTTTTTGCAGTGAAATGAATTACCGTGAGATGAGGTCATGCTTATTTTTAAGCATATCTGGTGCTCTGACAGACAGGTGCTCTTAGTTAAATATTCAGCATGTTGTGTTCAGGGAACCATGGGGCTGCATTTTTAAATATCTTTTATATACACTGTCTAGGTGTCTAGAGAGGCAAACAGGTGTGTAGCAGGGGTGTTTTTTTGAGAAGTGCCAACATACTTGTGTCAGTGAATCGTGGGAGTAGGTTCTTCTGGGACTTGCTAAGTTGCTTACCTTGCATTTCTTCGTGCCTGTATTATTTAAAACGTAGCCCCTAGTGTTTTTGAAAAGTAGTTACCTCCGTTAACTCCTGTTTCTTAGAGTCCCATACAGAGTAGTCTTTATGGAAGCATCTTTAGAAAGCAAAGTCTGAAATTCCCATAGTGGAAATAAAGAGACAGCCTTCTAGAAATGAGGGGAAGAGGCATAACCTTTGCCAACTTGTAAAGTAGCAGCAGTATTTAACTTCTGTGAACTTAAAACTGAACAAATCTCTTCTCTTCTGTCTTCCTGGGTTAGTGAGCTTCCCAAGGGACTGGGATGGGAGTGGAGGAAAGTTTGTAAAGATATCTTGATTACGGTGGTCTTGCTCTGATGCGATGATTTTTTTTCTTTCTTCCAGATAAAGAAGAGGCAACAAGATGTGGTGAGGTTTCTGGAAGCCAATCGTATAGAGTTTGAAGAGGTGGATATCACAATGTCAGAGGAGAAAAGGCAGTGGATGTATAAAAATATTCCTGAGGACAGGCAGCCTGCGCAAGGCAATCCACTGCCACCGCAGATATTTAGTGATGATCAGTACTGTGGAGTAAGTAGCTATTATGGTTGTCAACTGACAATATATTAGTGATACACTGTTGGCCGTTTAAAAAGTCAGGACTCGGTATAGAGTCTGAATTAATGGTGACAGCATGCAGGGATAGAAGCAGGTGATGTTCATTAATGAACATTCAGGTCATTCATCTGTAAACCGTAGTGGTGTTTTCAACTAGTGGATTTCCCTTCACAAAAACAAGAATTAGGAGTATTATGTACTTTGTGCACAACCTGTTGATGGTAAAGCCCTTTGAGACCACCAGAATCTGGGGAATCCTGGTTTTGCTGCTGCCTTGTTCTAACCCTAGCATAAAAATTCAGAAGGAAATCTTAGGCACAGTAAATGAGAACAGCAGCTAGACAGAGTTATATTGCCATTTTAATTAAGCTCCCTCTCTTCTGCTGTCATAGGGTTAATTGCATCTGCACTCAGAGAGCCTTTATGCAGACAAAAGTCGCTAGGATAGATGAAAACTATTTGCTCTTCGGAATGTAGCATAGTTTTATTTTTCCGTAAAGAAAAGCAGCTTGAGAGTTGTCTTGCTCTGCTAAAAGACTGCCAAGCGTAGGAGCTGTGACTGACAGCAGAGTGATGGCCTGTGATTGACAGCAGATTGATGGATGGGCAGATTTCTCTGCTGATGTGTGTAAGCTGTAAGAGTTTCTCTATCCACTAGTGCAAGCTGAGGCACAAGCCTTTGACTGATGTGTTAAGAATGGCACCGTATGAATGGTTTATTCTCCTACTTAGCCAGGATGGTATGCTGCACACCTGAGCCTCTGGCACCGTCGTAGTCTGGGAGTATCTTCCCTGAACCCAGACTCATACTTGAGCAAAATTTTGTGTAAAAAAAAAAAAAAAAAAAAAAAAGGACAGCTGAGACTTCATTGCCTTGCTGCATCTTTTCGTACTTTAACCTTGTGACTTGCACATCCTATGGGAGGAAGGTGTGGGGTACCTGTTAGACTGACTGACTGACTGGGAGAAAGGGACATGTGCTGTGCCACCCTGGGTGCATCAGGAAGTGAGTGGGTCACGCTTGTATGTGAATTCAGTAGGAAGATGAAACGGGGAAGACTGTGGTTATAATAGTTGGATCAGAGTAGATATGAGTATTTATATAGGTTGCTCATGGCAATATTTTGTGGAGACCCCCAGCTGGTTCTAAGTGAGGTAACACAAGTATTGGAAGCTCTCTGGTAGCTCACTTAGCCTGCGAGGAATATATCCCATGGGGTACCTTAGCCTCTCCAGGGTTCGTGGTACTGCAGCTAGGCTGCTTCTGGTTGATGGAGCATTCAGATCTGCCGAGAGCCTAAGAATTGCACTGCAGTGGTTAGCTTCATGCAGAAAGTGCACAAGAGGTGATTCGGGATCCTCTGCAGCAGGTTGGGTGCGTTGTTGCAGCTGACTGTCTTTTTGAGGCAAGGTAGTTAAGATCCCTTCTACATGTTTTGTATTGGTTTTACTTGTTTACCTCTCATGTCAGCCATAAAACTTGTACCTTCCTACTTCAAGTTGAGAAGTGTCCATTACGGAAATGGATCTGGGATGCGGAAGGAATTTTGACACGCACTTATGGAGCAGCCCCTTACTCAAGAATGACAACACTTCCATTGTTTGTATGATTTTAGTTCACCAGGAAAACATGATGTTTGAGCTGTTGTTTCTTACCCTTTCTACATCTCTTCAGCTTTCCTTTATAGTACGTTTTAACCCAGTCTTAGAAAAACTGTTAACTGTTGTTTGGAATTAGCAAGGCAGAAGATGTCATGCAACATGGAGATGATCTTACTAATCTATTTGCTTAGCTGATAGCTGTTTTGGCTGAGCAGAGGTAATCCTATTACTGGACCTCACTGTCAGTGTGAACATCTTTAAAGAGCAAACATACTTTGAAAATAAACTGTATATTTTCTAGCATGAAGGAAAAAGTATGTGCAGTAACTTTCAACAGTTATCCTGCTGGCATTAATTAATGAGGTTCTTAGGTAATAGAGTGGAGACAAAACATTAGGCAGGAGGCAAAGGAGGTCAGCCCTGGAAAGGGGGGGGTAGAATATTGCAAAGGAGTTGGTTGAAGTAAGCAGACATTGTACATGTCTTTCTCCTCTTGTGATTTCACAGCAAGGTCTTTCATATGTTTGTCTTGACACAAATAATTTTTTCAACAATCATTAGTAAATAACTTCTGAAAAAATGCCCACAGAGTTTTCTGTCAATTGAATTAGTGAAAATTGTACCTTATGGTTCCTGATTTGTGTCCAGGCAATTTCTAAATCCAATTTGCTCTGTTCACAAAGGACTGTTTGTTTTCCTGACTGCCAATTCTGCAGTCTCACCACGTTACCAGGAAACTACCTATATACTCACTCTGGCTTATGCATTATTACTGATGATACAAATTGGTCAGATCCTTTGTTGTTTCTCCAAATACATTAGGGCTAGACAGCGAAAAGTAAAATAGGTGCACTTATTATTTTGTTTGTATTGTTTCAGGAGAGATTCGCAGGAATACGATGTACAGGCCAAAATAGGCTCTATTTCACGATCATAGCCATACTATTTTTTTCTGTGTTAGTCAAAGCATGACTAGAGAATAGATTTTTCTGGCTAGAAAATTATAATTTAAATCGATCACTTCTTAGAATGTAACTGCACAGGAAGTAGTTCAGTACAGACAAACTGTAGAGGAAGTTTGTCTTCAGTCTTTTCATGAAACATCTGAAACAGGTTGATTTCAGCCATTTGATTTCATGTTAGTTTATATTAGAGGGAAAAGGGTAAAAAAAAAAAAGATGGTTACTGGTTCATCAATGTCTTGTACCTGAGGGGGAAGGATCCTTCTGGTACCAAAAGACGACTCCATGTCTTGATGCATGAGTGAGACCTTGAAATTTGGTCTGAGTTGATGTAATCGCAAATGTCATCATTAATCTGTGTTATCCTTTTCTCAGTCTTCGGAGATCCACGCCCCGATTTTTCAGTAACAAGTTCTGCTAATGGGATTTTGAAATACAGTACTCAGCAAGAACCATTTTTGCTTCCTGTTAACAAGGTAGATAAGAGCTCTGATTCCAGAAGAACACAAATCATTTGACTCATAATCCAGTGTTGTGTTATAGCACCGACACTATGATAATTTACGTATTTTTATGTCTTTGCACTCTGTTGTTTCATCTTAGTGACACTGCTAGAACATTGTAAATGTGTGAGGAAAGAGTCTACGTTTCAGACAAATCAGACACATGAGCCTGCTCAGTTAATTTACAACAATGTATATCTGAAATTATCACAGTGATCTTGCTCTAGTGAGTCCTATGTAAGAGTAGGGGAATTTTGGTGCGTAGCGCATGTTCCAGGAAGGAAGTCCTGCACACTGCATAAAGAAAAGTAAAATTGAGATACTTTGGAAAAGACAAGGGAGCGCAGAGCCATTTTCTTCAATAGGAAGTAGGTAATATTTTAAACTTTGAAGGAATTTTTATTTAACTAGCAATCTAACGCTTTCTGATTCAGGAATTTTCCAATTGGTAGGAATGATACAGCATCAGATAAAGGGCTGTAAATGAGACCTTCAGTTAATGCTTTGTATCTCTCATATAGTAGTTCTGTCACTTCCTCCTACAGCTAAAGGCAACTGTAAACTCTTTTTTGTCCTCTACTTAAATCATTGTGAAGTAACTAAAATGTAGATAGCTCTTTGTAAAGCAGTTTCAGCATTTAATGAAGTTGGTGGTGGTCATGAGTCTCTGAATGAATGAAGACAGAAGTTTTAGAATCGGGATGTTATTTGGCACTTCTGTTGTGTATCATGTTTTCAAGCCTTTCTCTAAGAGATCGGCATTGTGCTTATTTGGACCAAAAATGTCCCTATTAGGTAGGCCAGTCTGTATTCACCACTGTTTTAGCTACTGCGATACTGACCTGAAGAATTACATTATTCTGTTGACTGTCTGCCTCTCAGCTATTACAGATTTGTCAGCCTGGGACAGTACAAAAGCCTATAATGACTGGGTTTTAAGGCTTTTTCTTTCTTTCTTTGCAGAAGCTGTCCATATGGCCTACTGGCAGCAGGATTCTTGTTATTTCCCTTACTAGAGTGTAAATTGACGTTTTAAGTTTATATTAAAGGTCTGTCTGTATCATTTTTCAAGTGAATTTCACTTGAGTCCTTGTGTGTGGTAATGGAGGACAGAAAATACTGTTTTAGTGGGAAAATGAAGATTGTATTTGGTTTTCTAAGTTTTGCTATCTAAACACTTTGCTTTCAAGGTTACAGAAAAATTTCTAAATGCTCTGCTTCCCATTGCAAGTTTATTTTACACAGCCACATCACTGATTTTGCATATGTGTTACTCAGATTATTCTGAAGAATTGCTGGTAGGATACACCCTAGTAGCAACTATTCAGTATTCTACAGGTTACAAACACTATTTAAAAATAATCATTACTTATCTTGCTCACTGTTATGCTTTTTACCCAGACCCTGGAAAAATCCAGATAGATGGAAAGATCACTGCAGATTGGTTATGTTAGGGCCAGATTCACAAAGGGACTGTGGCATGATGCCAAGCACTGAAATGCCTAAATTTTGGGCATGTGGCTTCCAGAGTGGAATTTGCAGCCCCAAGGTAGGGCTCCAGCTTCTTTACACAGTAGGTGAGGAGCCATAGATACGTATGTCTAAACAGGATTTACAGCAGCCATCATGGAGAGCTCTTAAAGCAGCAAGCAAGAAATCTGGAACATTGATGTCTGAAGCTGGGCCTGTGGCTCATACCTCCCTTTCCTGCTGTATTTGAAATCTCCATAGCTGCGTACGTGACCTGTCTTGGGCTAAAAGTGCATCCTGGATCTTTTAGAAGGCTGGAAACCTCCACTTCTCAGTGAAACAGCACTCTAATTTTAACCTTACAAAACTGCAAGTTAACACTTTGAAGCAGTGATAGTTTTATATGTAGAAAGTCTGCCACTGATGTGGGATTGCC